CCGCCGGCGCGCCCACCCCCGCTCCCCCGCGGCCCTGCTAGCAATAATTACCTGAGAGCGGCGCCTCCCTCGGGTCTGCCACGGGAGGGGGGGCGCAAAGGGCAACGGGTGCCCCGGGAGGGGCGCGACAGCGGGCTGGGTGCGGCAGGCGCCGCTCGCGGACGTCGGGGAAACGGCACCTGTTCCTTCCTCCCTGGCTGGGGCTGCACTGGGTGCTCTGGCGACGCTCGGGTCTCCTGCGGGTTGCCGCCTCTTTACCGCCCGCCGCCCTCGGGCAGAAGCCGAGAGCAGGGACTGAAGGCGCCCACCAATTTACTCCGAGTTGGGCGCGGGACCCCTTCCTGAGCCCGCCCTTCGGGAAGCACCTGCTTTCTCTTTTATCCACCTGAAGGCGAGGGAAGCTTCAGTTCGACCTCACTGGAGCAGATTAGAGATTGGCTGAGCCCGCAGAGGGACAACCAGGTAGGCAGGGTTCAGAGGGAACTGTGCTGAGAGGACTCCTGGCTGATTTCAGGTAAGATGCTCCCTAGGGAGGGATGGGCCAGTTTAGGAAGCCTTCGAGGGAGACAAGGTAGATCTTCCGGGTGCCTTAGGACTTTGATTTATCACTTTTTTAAACTATTATAAAAATTGAATTCAATTCCCTGGTGAACTTCAAATCAGTTTTTGACTGTTCTAAAAACAAATTCATTAAAAATTAAAAAAAAAAACACACAAGAAACTCCAAAAACCGAAGTTTTGAATAAATCTCATTCACCTTTGTTATCCTTTCGCATCTTTTCATGAATAACCACGTGGTTTAGCATTTAGCACTGATTAGCAAGTTACTTCTGTGCAAGGCTGTACACAACTGTGCTAACGCCACAGGTCCCTGGGTCCTACATTTGCCCCCTGTGCTGTGGAGGGAAAGGGGAAGGGGAATTTGGCCCAAAAAACCATCCCAAATCCCTATGACAAAATAGAGCTAGTCATGGCGGTTTTTCCAGTTGCCCAAGAGCCCCTTTGACAGAAGTTGTGAGTCTCACGTCTATTTTTATGTATGCATATATGGTTTGTGACTAACTGATGTGCTTTTGGTGAGGAGGAGGATGACTGCACTTCACCTTTGTGATTTTGGACAGAACAATCTCTCCAAGGCTAAGTTTCCTCATTGATAAAATGGGAGTGCCTGTCTGCCCTGCTGCCTCAGACACTTGTGAAGCTCAAATGACAAACTGCACTAAGGTGACTCAAAAGATGGAAAGCCCTGGGGCAGGTAGGTGGTGTGGTGGTTAAGGGTGCTAGACTCTCACATTGGCGATTCCACTTCAAGTCCTACCTGGTGGCTCTCGCTCTCGCTCTCGCCCTCTCTCTTTCTCTTTCTCTCCCCTCCCTCCCTCTCTGGTCAAATTTAAATAAATTAATTAAATCAAAAATAAAATTATAAAATAGAGAAAAAGCCTTAACAAATGAAAGATCTTGCTATCTTTGTCTCCCTTTATCTTCAGTAATACTACCTCAGTCCCACCACACCCACACATGTGTTAAATGACTAAAATCCTGACACAGGTGTCTCTGTTCTCCTTCAGTGCTCTTCCTACACTGTTACATACAAACTTTAAGTCAATGAGGTTTAAAATGTTGCAAATGAAGATACTTTTATTAATTTCCTTGAAATGTATGCAAAACAAATTCGTTCCAATATTTTATTAAATATTATCGACTCCAGCTAGCATATATTATCATAATTAGTAAGATTAAGTCATCAGACTGGAACAAAGACTTATTGCTATTCTGTTAAATGTGGCATTTACGTTTTCCAACAAACTAGAAATAATGATACTTCAGCAATTTAAAAAATTACACATGACTTCACAGTCATATTCTGTCTAGCTGCATGAAGAAGCTTCTACATCTGCAGTATCACATCTCCCTTCTAGGACTAAAGATTAGAGTATGTGCAGAGTGCTAACTTGTTAAGTTTCAGTCCAGAATGCTTCATGGCTCTTATAGAAATAACTAAGGCTAAATATTTCTTTATTGCTGCATGGTTTATTTGCTTAGGGCAGATTGTTATCTGTTTATTCTTTTTTTCTTTGAAAATTATTTTATTTAACTTTATTTATTTATTTATTTTAATTTAACCAAAGAGGGTGAGAGACAGAGAGAGAGAGAGTGAGAAAACAAGCTGTCAGGTCTGGGACTTGAACCATGGTTGGCCATGTAGGAATCCAGTGCTCTTAACCACCACACCACCTGCTGGTCCCTGTTTATTCTTATTTAACCAACAGATTTTTACAAGTTTTTTGTTTTTAGTTTTCATGGTGGTTTGGGGATTTTTGTTTTGTTTTGTTTTTCACCAGTGATTTAGGGACTTAAAAGCAAGATCAAGCGCTTCAACTTGAAATTCATCAATCTGTGAGGGGACATAAGACACATGTATCAGGACCAGCAGTTGGCGTAATGGCTGTGTTGCTGGACTCCCATGCAATCAACCATGGTTCAAACCCCAGACCTGGTGGCTTAAATTCACACCGGGCACGTGTGTGTTTGTGCCCAAGATCCCGAGAGGAGAATGGAGGAGAAGGGATTGCCGCGTGACCTCCCTCCTAGGGAGTGATTTCTCGCTTTCTGTCTCTCTGTCTCTCTCTCTCTGTCTTTCTGGTGAGCGCATGTGCCCTATAGCAAAAACCTCTCAAAAAAGAAAAAAAACAAAAAAACACACATATCTTCAAAGGTGAAATGGAAGCTCAGCATTTTCAGATATATTTCCAGATGATAGTTACCTAAATCTAACAATAAAATTGTGTGAAAATTTAACTTTACTTCTGGAACTTTCTCTTTTTCAAGGTTCTTTAAACCTTTTTTAACTTCATTCATTTCTTCCTTCCATGAGTGAAAGAGAGACAACACTGCCAACATCTTCAGACTGTCATCCATTCTAGCCTCAGCTAGTCCTAGATGATGGGCAGCCATGTTTCTGGAATACTCAGGGGAGTCTCTGGACACCATTCCAGAGCCTTCCAATGGGTCAGCCTTGCAGAGCATCATGTTTTACTACTGTGCCACAGCCTAGTCCCTATTCATGTTTATTAAATTCTGGATTCCTAGAGGTGTGAATAATCACAACTGCGGCTCCTCATTTCATTTTATGTTTGTTTTTCTTTTTCACAGCCACCTTCAAACATCTGCAACATAGATTGGAAATATTTTGTTATCCCACCAAAAAGAGATTGATTACCTGTGTCCTTTGAATAGGAAGGTGAAGTTACTGATGGCTACTTTTAAAAACATTATTCTTTTTTTTTCTTTCATTAGTGAGAGACACAGCGAGAGAAAGACAAGCTTGTTCAACTGAGTCTTCATGCCACAATCCACCCTTCACTACTCCAGTCCTATATCATGGGCACAAAAGTACCCAGCATGTTCAAGGTTTCCAGACATGAACCCAGAATCTTCCAATGTGAGTCAGCCTTGAAGAGCATTGAGTGACTGCTATGCCACCAAACAACCCCTCAGAAAGGGCCATTTTAAGTTAACTGACTTTTGTTGTGAATGATTTCAGCAGCTTAAACGGTCCAGAATCTGATCATCTTTTCTTCCATTGTTCACATTCCTTCACCCAGTCCCTTTTCACCTGCTCTTTGTATGTGCTTCTGAGACCACGTCCCCTCTACCACTAGGGGGACAGAAGGAAGTTTACTGATTCACCTGGGCCCAAAGACAATACCAAGCACAGGAGCTCTGAGTTCACCAGCCACAAACAGACAACCTCTGTGGAAGGTTATATCAACAACAATTTCATTGAGAAATAACTGAGCCAGAACAGTGAGGTGCTTGGAGACTTCAAAACACAGACAACAACCCCTGCCCTCAAAGACAATTGTAGATAAAGGATTAAAGAAAATAATTGATAAGAAATAAATTGTTTATTATATTGAGCATTAATAAATGACACATAAAAAAAACTGTTAGAGAAATTCAGAGGAAAGAAAAATTACCCTATTTTGAGGTGGTTGGAAAAATTTTACAGAAAAGATATAACAACATCTGGAGTTTAAAGAGTAAAATTTGCCAAGAGACCTGGAGGAAAGGAATGAAGAGAAGCAAAACATTGAAAAACAAAAACACCTGTTCACTGCATGCATGTGGGGAAAAAAATAAAAGTTTATTTATACAAGGAAATAGTGGAGTAAAAATGTAATTTAGTAACAAATTGTAAAAAGTCTTTAATAGGTTTAATCATTCTGTCAAGTCAGAACCTCTAACTTCTTTTACTCATTAAACAAAGATTTGTTTTGTGGCCAACGCTACTCTAGGTATTAGGCATATAACAATTAACAAAATAGACAAATAATCCTTGCCTTTCTCTTTTTTGTAACTATTTAAATTAATTTTTTATTTGACAGAAATTGTATATACTTATCCTGTATAGTGTGTTGTTTTGAAATATGTATACATTGCAGAATGGCTAGATTGAGCTATTTAGTGCATGCATCACGTCACATACTTACTTTTCCTGGTGAATCCAAAATCTATTTCAGCAATATTCAAGAATGTAATACATGCTGGGGGCCAGCAGGAGGTGTGGTGGTTAAGGCACTGGATTCCCACATGACCAGCCTTGGTTCAAGTCCCAGACCTGGCAGCCCGCTTTCCCTCCCTCTCTCTCTCTCTCTCTATCTCTCTATCTCTCTCTCTCTCTCTCTCGTGAGCACATGCTCTATTACAAATTAAAAATAATAATAAAATTAAATAATGCTTTTTTTTTTTGGAGAGGATTTTGCTATAGGGCACGTGCGCTCACAAGACAGAGAGAGACAGAGAGACAGAAAGCAAGAAATCACCCCTCGGGGGGATGACCACGCCACAATCCCTTCTCCTCCATTCTCCTCCTGGGATCTTGGGCACGCACGCACACGCACACGCACCCGGCGTGAGTTTCAAGCCACCGGGTCTGGGACGCGAACCGCAGTCGACTACATGGGAGTCCAGCGACATAGCCATTATGCTAACTGCTGGTTCCCCCAAATAATGCTTTCTAAAAAGAATGTAATATGTTGTTATTAACTATGGTTACCATGTTGTACAATAATCAATTAACTTTATTCCTCCTGTCTAAATGAAATTTTTTATCCTTTAACCAACATTTTCCAACCACTTCCCAACCCCTGAGTCCTTGGAAACCACCATTTTACTCTACTGATGTGAGTTCAACATTTTTAGATGAGATATGTGCAGTATTTGTCTTTCCATGCCTGGCTTATGTCACTTAACTTATATCCACCAGGTTTGTCCACAATGTTGCAGATAACAGATTGAATAATATTCCATTATATCTCTTTACCACGTTTTTGTCTATGCATTTATTCACCAATGGACACATAGGTTGATTCTGTATCTTCACTACTATGAATAAAGCTAAGATGAACACAAGAATATTCTTCAATATACTCATTTCATTTCCTTTGGGTATATACCCACTTGTGGGATTGCTAGATCGTATTGTAGTTACACTTTTATTTTTTTGAGACCCTCCATACTGTTCCATAATGGCTGTCCTAATTTACATTCCCACTGTCTTAATCCAGTTTGTGCTATCATAGCAGAATATGACAGTCTGGGTAATTTGTAAAGAACAGAGATTTATTTCTTATAATTCTGGATACTGGGAAGTCCAAGAGCAAGGTGCCAACAAGTCCATTATTTGGTAGACTCTGTTCTCTCATTCCAAGAGCATATCTTAAACACCACATTTTCCAAAGGGAGGAATACTGTCCTTACAGAAGGTGGAAAAGCAAAAGGCTCCTATCAAGCCTTTTTATAAAGGTGCCTAATTCTAGAGGGAGGAGCTCTCATAACCTCAGAGGCCCCACCTGTTATTACTATCACATTGGCCGTTAATTTTCGAAACAGGAATTCAAACCATAACACACACCAACAGTGTGTGAGTGTTTCTTTTTTTCCATATCCTATCAACACTTAACTTTTGTCTTTGTGGTAATAACCATTCAAGTGTGTGCTGGCATCTCATTGTGGTTTAGATTTTCATTTCCCTGAGTAACAGTGATATTGAGCATTGGCCATCCATATGTCTTCTTTTGAGAAATGTCTATTCAGATCCTTTGCCCAAATCAAGTTATTTGCTTTATTGCTGAGTTGTTTGTGTTCCTTGTGTATTTTGGATATTCACTCGTTATTAGATGTGTGGTTTGAAAATACTGGGTTGTTGGAAAAGTCATAGAATATTTTTCTGTTTTTCTATGCAAAATTGCATCATGATTTTGCCAACAACCCAATATTTTCTGCTATTTATAGGTCATCTCTCACTCTGTTGATTGCTTCTGTGGTGGTTCTTGTCAACCTCTTCTACCAGTCTTCTTACCCTTTTCCTGTTCCAGCCATGTTGGCTATTGTCCTTGGAACATGCTCAATTTTCTCCCAATTTCAGAACCTTTGACTTGCAATACCCTGTCTCTGGGATGCTCGTCACAGAACACATCTCCTAAGACAGGTGTCAGAACAAAAGCTGTTTCCTGAGTGCAACCTTCTCTGACCATTCCTTCCAAAAGTCATTACTCTTAGTTATAATGCCCTGTTTTATTTTCTCATAATCCTTTTGACTATCTTAAATTTCTTTATTTGTTTATTTGTTTTTTTTTTATCCTAATGTAAGCTCTATGACGTTAGACACATGACGTTTTTTTTCTTTCAATATCTGCAAAACCTAGAACATTGCCTGCATATTTAGATGTTCCACACACATTTGTGGATTGAATGAGTAGATGAATTAATCCACTGGTAAAGCGTGGATTATTCAGGACCAGCAGATGGTATAATGGTTACATTGCTGGACTCCCTCTGTTCTCTCATTCCAAGAGCATATCTTAAACACCACATTTTCCAAAGGGAGGAATACTGTCCTTACAGAAGGTGGAAAAGCAAAAGGCTCCTATCAAGCCTTTTTATAAAGGTGCCTAATTCTAGAGGGAGGAGCTCTCATAACCTCAGAGGCCCCACCTGTTATTACTATCACATTGGCCGTTAATTTTCGAAACAGGAATTCAAACCATAACACACACCAACAGTGTGTGAGTGTTTCTTTTTTTCCATATCCTATCAACACTTAACTTTTGTCTTTGTGGTAATAACCATTCAAGTGTGTGCTGGCATCTCATTGTGGTTTAGATTTTCATTTCCCTGAGTAACAGTGATATTGAGCATTGGCCATCCATATGTCTTCTTTTGAGAAATGTCTATTCAGATCCTTTGCCCAAATCAAGTTATTTGCTTTATTGCTGAGTTGTTTGTGTTCCTTGTGTATTTTGGATATTCACTCGTTATTAGATGTGTGGTTTGAAAATACTGGGTTGTTGGAAAAGTCATAGAATATTTTTCTGTTTTTCTATGCAAAATTGCATCATGATTTTGCCAACAACCCAATATTTTCTGCTATTTATAGGTCATCTCTCACTCTGTTGATTGCTTCTGTGGTGGTTCTTGTCAACCTCTTCTACCAGTCTTCTTACCCTTTTCCTGTTCCAGCCATGTTGGCTATTGTCCTTGGAACATGCTCAATTTTCTCCCAATTTCAGAACCTTTGACTTGCAATACCCTGTCTCTGGGATGCTCGTCACAGAACACATCTCCTAAGACAGGTGTCAGAACAAAAGCTGTTTCCTGAGTGCAACCTTCTCTGACCATTCCTTCCAAAAGTCATTACTCTTAGTTATAATGCCCTGTTTTATTTTCTCATAATCCTTTTGACTATCTTAAATTTCTTTATTTGTTTATTTGTTTTTTTTTTATCCTAATGTAAGCTCTATGACGTTAGACACATGACGTTTTTTTTCTTTCAATATCTGCAAAACCTAGAACATTGCCTGCATATTTAGATGTTCCACACACATTTGTGGATTGAATGAGTAGATGAATTAATCCACTGGTAAAGCGTGGATTATTCAGGACCAGCAGATGGTATAATGGTTACATTGCTGGACTCCCATGTGGCCAACCATTGTTTGAGTCCCAGACCCAGACATGAAACTCGTGCTGGGTACATGTGGGCCCAAACTCCCAAGAGAAGAATGGAGGAGAGGGGACTATGGTATGGCTATCCACCTGGGGAGTGATTTCTTGCTTTTTGTCACTCCATCTCTTTCTCTGTCTCTTCAACTAGTGCATGTGCCTAAAGGCAAAACACTCTCTCTCTTTAAAAAAAAAAAAAAAAAAGGATTACCCTCCTTCCTTCCTTTGGCTGAAACAGAATGTTGGGATTTCTACAACTGCGTCCTGGCTTAGGAAAAAGCTGTGATTGATTGGTAATGTGGTAATGTCTTCTCTGAGCACAGGAAAGGAAAGTGGTCCCAAGAGCCCCATATTTGACAGTCTACATATGTACTATTTTAAGCCATGGCCCCACCCTACTCTACTCTGCTCTATGGAAACCTTAGGTAGATATGATGATACAAAAGTAATAGAACCCCAAGTGATGTAACTATGGAATAGTTTAAGTGTCAAGATACCTCATTTCTCCTGGTACACTTAAGGATCAAAAAGAAAGTGGCACTGGGACTCTAGACATATTTGACCTAGCAAATTCTTCAGAACCACCAAATACCAAATGCACCTTTATGAAGAACGAGGAAGGTCACAGGAATCTATTCCTTCCCCGCTTTTATCTCTTTTCTGCTTATTTTATAACAAAACAAAAGTAAAAGTGATTTACATTCCAAGAGCTGAACTTCAAATTTGTAAGGGCTCAGCCCTACTCTGGAGCTACTGAATATTTCTGAGTAGAGGAATTACAAGAAAAAAAAAAAAAAAAAAACAAGATGTGTCTTCCTATTTTTTTGTTTTTTGAGAGGTTTTTGCTATAGGGCGTGTGCACTCACAAGAAAGACAGAGAAACAAAGAGTAAGAAATCACCCCCTAGGGGGAATGGCCACGCCACAATCCCTTCTCCTCCATCCTCCTCTTGAGATCTTGGGCACACATGCCAGGCATGAGTTTAAGTCACTGGGTCCAGGACTCGAATAACATGGAAGTCGACTACATGGAAGTCCAGTGACATAGCCATTACACCAATTGCTGGTCCTGTGTCCCCCTATTTTAATATATGGGCAATACAGGTTGAGAATATCCTTCACCTGAAATGCTTGCAACCAGAAGTGTTATAGATTTCAGATTTGTTTGGATTTTGAAATATTTCATGTATATAATGAAAGATCTTGGGGATGGGATCTTAAGACTAAAAATAAAATTCACTTATGTTTCCTATAAACCTTATACACACACCAATGACAATTTAATACAACACTTTTTGTATTTCATTATTTTGACTATAACCCACATAAAATCAAGTGTTGAATTTTCCACTTGTAGCATCATGTCAACACTCAAAAAGTTTTGATTTTTGAGTTGGCTCAGTTGCACAATGATAATGCCATGCTCAAACAATACCAGATCCATATGAAAGATCACAGATTCATTTCCTGGTCAACCTGTATACACCAGGTATACCTACTCATGATCATGCCTGAGTAGGAAGTCAGGGCTTATGGGGGAGGGAGTTGCAGCATGAGACCCTGTTGAGGGTGTTTGTCTCTCTCTAAATAT